GCCTCCTGCTTGTCAACTGCCCAGCGAACGTACGGCGTGTCTGCATCAAAGACACAGAAACCCCATCACCTCTAGAGCAGCTCATGGAACTCCACCGAAAAGCAGACCAAGAACCCATCAAGATGGAGACAGGCCGCGCAGTAGCCAATATCTGCCGAGCGTTACACTCCGAGAAGCCACTAGGCTCCATTCTCGTCCCCGAATCTTCAACACCATCTTCCGACGAAGAGGCCAGTTCTCTGCTGCAGGATTTCTACCAGAAGCACCCGGCACTAGCAGATACCCTACTCTACCTAGGACTGCAAAGCAAATTCCCCGTGCTAAAATCCGAACTCTGGTTCGTCCTCGCGTTGATGGCGCGTTCCGCCGAAGGATCCGGCATTATTACGCAATGGACCAAGCAGCGTCCGGAAATCGTAAACGTGCTCGTCGAAGCCATCACAGGAGAAAAAGCGCCAGAGAATCAGAGAGTGCAGGATGTAACCGACAACCCTGCAGAAGCATCCGGGCTGGATCTCTCGGCATTGGGGGGAAGTATCGGGCAGCTTGAGCCGCAGCAGGTCGACCCCGCGAAGGCGGCTACCATGACCAAGGTAGATCGCGAGAATGGACTGGTGCTGATTTCTGAGCTGCTGAGGCGATCGTCCGATAAGCTGGATCCTTCAGTGAGGAACACGTTCGGCCAGATTTTGAAGACGGGAGGGGAACTGGTTCTTGGTGAGAGGAACACGAGTTAATGGGAATCTGGCTCAAGTTTAGACTGTCATAAGCGCAACGAATATATAGTAAGGTAAATACTAGACGCCGTGGTTGGGAATTTCTACGATTTTTTTTCTTTCTGTTTACCAATCGTACGATGATCTCGATAGTCGCAATATTCGTAATCATCCTGCGTATGGATTTACTGGTATACCATCACACGAGCACAAAAAGCAGAGGAAATCATGTCAATTCATGTCAATTCATTTTCCATTGAAGAACGACCTAGAGAGCAAACCGTAAGATGCAATAATGCTTCGGCCTTGTTGTGTGGCGAGGGAAAGAAGATGATATATCTGGCTTCTTCTTTTTTAAATTCTTTTTCCCTTCCTGGCTACACTGAAGCCGCAAGCCAACCCGCCCTGACCGACCAACAACAGAACGAAAGCAGAACCTTAATGATGCCGTCCATACTCCCGTGCAGCAGTAGCAGCAGCAGACCCCACCGTGGGAATTCGTGCTCCATCTTATTTCTTGTTGGCCTCGGCCTCGGCCTTGTCCTTGGCTCGCTTCTCCCGCTTGCCTTGCAGTCTCGCGTCGCTTCGGGCCTTGCGCAGCTTCGCGAAGGCACCGCCCTCGATGGGCTTGGGGAGATCGCTCTTGCTGATCTCTGTGACGCCCTCGGCGAAGGGGGAGATGGGAAGGGCTGAGCTGAGGGTGGGCACGATCTGGGTGCTGCTGAGGTCGATGTCCTTGCTGTCACCGGCCTTGGTGTTCTTGGCGCCCTTGCGGGGGAAGACGATCAATCGGGCCTTGTAGGCCTTGAGGCGGGCCACATTGGCGGAGAGGGACTCCTCGCTGAGGTTTTGGCGGCGGTAGTCGACGGAGATACCGACGGTGGGGGCCACGAGACGGGGGATACCGGCTTCCTGTGAAGTTGTTAGAATGGAATTATTAATTAGTTATGATACCCGTTTTCTTCTGCCTAGCGACTAAGATATTTATAAAATACAGAGTCTAGTGAATGATCTTGTGACGTAGATAGAAGAGAACGGGTTAGTCGCATGGGCGGGAATAAGTATGTACCTTCAACTCAGTCAAGGTGAAACCACGTCCGGCACGAACGCGGCGGTTGTACTTGATGGTAGGGCATCGGACAACAGGTCTGAGCTTGTCAACGGGTCGGGGAGCAACAGCAGCAGCCTTGGCACGTCGGAGAGAGCGGCGGCGGATCTTCTTGGTAGGCTATGAATTTATTTTTGTTAGGATATTTTGAGTCGCATTATTTTGGTCGGAGTAGTTAATTCATCATCTTCATACCTGGTCGAAGTGGGTTCGGACTCGACGCTGCCAATCCTTTCGGAAATCTATATTTGTTCGTCAGCATTTTTGGTCTATGATAGAGACAGAGAAGTATCGATCGAGTGGTGGTGCTCGTGATGGGTGATCGTTTTTTTGCATTGGGATGCATCGATTGAACGTACGGTTGTGCTGAATCTGGTTGTTGTGCTTGATCGCCTAGAAAAAAGTAGAAATATTAGTATCTAACATCTAATTTGACAGCGACGATCAATTGAAAAACGACATCATCAACTTACCATTGTGACTGATTGCGATCAAGGGAGGATGGATGGATGTGGGAAGAATGGTGGTCGTTATCACAGGTCGTCTCTTCGATTCCAGATTAGTAGGCCACTTGAGAATTTCCTCGGATGCAAGCGCAAAGCAGCAGCAGGTCAGACCCCAAACCCGCACTTTTCGGCAAAATATTTGAAGGGCTTGAAAACCCTACCCAGTTGTACCTAGCAGAGTGCTAACTAAGTTTTTTTTTTTCATTTGTGTGTGGGGAATGGAATGTGGCTAGTACTGTGGTCAGTTGGTCAGTGCATTTGGTTCATTCATAACCCCCACTTGGTACGTACCTACTTAATGATGTACCTCTTCTCCACTCGTCTTAATTGATTGAAGTTTGAACTTAACCTGAAATAACAGAAAGCTGCAACCATACACTGCTAACAGTAGCCTACCCATTTCACAACAGCAAGTGAGGCCAATATATAGGTACATCAACGTCTACGTAAGTACAATGATACAAGAACGGGGTGTCCCGCGCGTCTCCTTCTAATATTTATTCTATCCAACGATGTTTCCTCCTTGCCTTCCCGCTCAGTTTTCCTCATCTATGACTGCAAACGTTGGCGTTTACATGAAGTGACCTGCACCCAAGACACCATCCTTACAGAGTAGAGCTCTAACACTACTCTGTAAGGTTGACATTATCGACAGATTGTTGCCGCTGTCGTTCCGAGTCCGTGTGATCTAGGCGATCCTGCACATCGCCAAGCTGTACTCTCCTCCTCGCATCGATATACATCATATACTCTTCGTACGTATCTTGATATTACGAGTTAGTAATGAATACAGAGATATTCTAGAAAGCAGATGCAATCACTCAAACCATCTCTATGAGTATTGATAGTTTATTGCCCGACATGAAGAGATAATGAGGAAATCGAAATATACGTACGTGGGAGGACTTTGACGTCTTTCGGTACTGAGAAAGTATAGTTGAACTGGCCTGTCGGTTTGGCGTTTCCATGTTCAACATCTCTGACCTTACTATCCACTCTTACGTGCAGTCGGGTCATTGGATTCTTCGCATCTTTCTGATGCGGCTCGCTGCCGTCTTCTTCCAGGAGTGGCGGGTCTGTGTACACAATAGTAGCTGTCAAGTACAGAACACTACCGACAGGAACTGGATTGCGAAAAGTACAAGGATCTGCACTGATGAAGGTTGGGCGCGCGTGAGAAAAACTTGCAGCGCAGCAGAAGGCCAGCTCGAAGGTCTGTTTCAAGTGGAATCCACCAAATATCATAGTTTGGTGGCGGTTTCGGTACTGAGGTTGCATTATGCTCGCAGTCGACAGTTGGGTTTTTGACATGGCCATCACATTTCTAGGTTGGCGTACACTATTGTTAGGGTCATGGTAAGCCAACTGTCTCAACCAAATCTTGTGTATAAGAGCCGACTCGGGGTCGTTCGGTTCTGTTTCAAGTAGGGAGGTCTTGAGATTCTTCTTTTTAGCCAAGGCTTTGGCCTCTCCAGTCTTGAATATCTTCTCTTCCTCGGGTGTCTCATATACTAGGCGAGGTATGTTCACGGGCTTCTTGGTGTTGGGATCCAGGGCTACCATCGTGAAGGTGCATGTTAACAAGACATCTTCGGGCTTGCTCGGTTCACCTTCACCTCTAGCTCTAGCAACCTTACAAGTAATTTCCACACTACTCCTACCCGACGCGTATGTCACCTGCCCGCTATACTCGAGGTCACATATCTCGGTAAGTGGATGAGCGATGGTGATACGATCGAGCGCGGCAGTCACGGTGGTGACGCCGGGGCCGGTATGTTTGTAGACTATGATACCTGATAGGGCGTCCAAGTCCATGAATACCGTTCCTAGCCTGGAATAAATATTAGATAAAAAAATGCGTGAGTTAGGAGGGTATGTATGGGTCAAAGACCTTATATGACCTGTCGAGTTGATATAGGTATCACTAAGCCAAGCATCGCGACCTAGCGGGAGCACAACCCGATGGTAACTATCACTCATTTTCTTCGGGGTAAGATCACGCTCCTGCGACCGGGCCTCATCGGAGGCTACATTCTTTCCTTCTTGTTGGAGCTTCCATGCGTCTATCCAAGGCATGGGCAGTCGATTATCCGTAAGTCCGCGGAATACGCCGTCTGTACGACGAGCAGGAGTGCCATGCAGATATCTCCTCGGAAGGGAGCAAACTCTTCTTGAAACGGCAGATATTACCGGAGCTTGGGATTGAGAGGTTAGGGTGAGCGCCCTATGGATGGGCACATTTTTAAAGGCCATAGCTGAGAAGTAACCAGTTGTAAGTATGGCTCAAGTTGACGAAGGGGATGATGATGGAGATATGAGATGCATGTACCTTTGTATCTAGATTAAGCTTATGTGCATGTGGAGAATTATAGTGGATATATCTATGTACCTCTCTCTTTAACAGCAAGTCGCAGATTCATTATCTACAGCATGATTTGCGAATGCCTTATTATCTGCAGTCGAATTCCAACTCAAACAAGCACGAGTATTTGATTATATAGTATGTATAGTATGATACCATGGTGCTAAAGGGAGTGTATGCAGATATAAGTCAGCATAACAATTAACGATACACAACTGTTCAACTCATACGCAAAAATGCATCATGAGCATCACCCCACGACTTTAAACAAGATAAAAGCCAAAAAGCGACAAAATGATACGAAAATACGCCTCGCGCGGGGGTCGAACCCGCAACCTTGGGATCCCAAGATCTGATCAAGTCTATTGACATGTCAGCTATGTAAAAGTCCCACGCTCTAGCCAATTGAGCTAGCCAGGCTGTTCGTTGAAGCCGGAATAGTCACTCTCCGATAGTGAGAGAACTATTGGATGACAGCAATTTGCTTATTCTTTTTGATATAGCCTGCTTTTGTGTGCCTCTTTGCCCACTAACACGGTCAGAAATGCTAGAGGTACGGTAGGTACCTAAATCTTTGTGTGAGTAACCCCACTTAACAGGCAATCTCCACTCCGAAATATAATCCACAATTTTAAGCTTACCCTTCGATGCCCCACTTACCGTCGCCGAGTCTCTCATTTCCGCGTGCTCACGCGTCACAACTTACAAGTACAAGCAAACATCATTATCAATCAGTTGCCTTTCATCTTTCATCGGATCTTGTGTGCTAATTGTGGTTGATTTAAAACAGACAACATATGCCGAGGTGATACATTTACATTAAGAGCTACTACACAAAGTCTAGAAAGCCACCACCAAAGAAATCTTCCATGCTAGGAAATACTGCATGCTCAGGCAAGTCAATGCCTGGAAAAGCCGTCTCAATCCCTGAATGGGAAATCCCCTGGGGGAATAGATCGTCTCTCCGGTATTCCGCTGCTTCATGGTTAGATTTTTCAAGACTGCCAGATCTAACTGGTCTTTCCGATCTGCCTTCGCTGTCGTTTGGTCCCTGGATGTGGGCTCTCGCCGAGGATGGGTGTGTATCTGTTGAATTTGACACGCCGTTGATGCGAGACTCTATTTTATATTTCGCAAGAACACCATACTTAAATGACCAAGCTTTTCCCGGAGATGTCCGAATCCACTGATCAACTCGATTGATTAAATCAAGGCTGATCTCATCCGAGACTTTTGACTGGGATTCGTCATAATGTGCCAAGAGCAGAGCGCAATACCCGATACAGAGGCAGAGGCACGTCGGAATGCCATCCATGAGGAAGGATGGCATTTCTAGAAAAGTCTGTAGGAGGAGCATAGAATATTTGCACGCATTCTCCCGCAACACATTGCCGTCGCTATCCTTCGTCCTCCTTGATCGACTCGGAGCATGACTTTCGCTGTCGCTTCCCGTGCCACCATCTGTCTCCGAGAGAAATGTTCGAGGCCGTAACCCTTGTCCGACTTCTTCTAACGACCTAATGGCCAATATGAGACAGGCAGCATGGTATCCGATTTTCAGCATAGAAGATGTCGGGAGTACTTGACTACGTATTTAGCGGGCGCATTTATCGTATACTTCGGTAGGTTAACTTACCCAGCAAATGGTTCCATTTTCCTTTCCACGACAGGAACTCCTTGCATTCGCTACCGTCGCCAAGGTATGACTGATGGGCGAGCTTCTCATGCAAGGTCGAGTATAACAATATTTCAGCGACAAGCATTCCATCTTGCATAGTTGCTTGGTAGAAACTAAGCAAGATGTTGCACTGACCTATATAATGAACTGGTATGATGGATGGGCGGCCAGTTGTCGCTGCCCAGCTAACGTTACCAGCACATTAGTACTTGTCAGAATAAACAGAAAAGAGGCAAGCTTACTGAAGGTGATGAAGACATATCTCAGACCATAGGCGAATGGCCCTATGGTCTTCAGCCGTTGAGCTACCCTGTTTGATGTTATTGATGATCTTGGAGAAACTAATGCCTAGCATGGCTTGCTTAGCACAGTAACCGGTCAATAGCCAGCTATCAACATATTCGAGTCCATTCTACCACGAATCAGCAATCATTCTCGAAACCCAAAACAACCGGTTTTCACATACGTTGCTTGGACTATTCGCGTTATTGCTCATGATCAGCACCGCATTGATCTCTTCGAGATTCAAGGGACTAGATAGAAGCGCTTGTCCCAGGGTAATCCGAACTTGTTCGTAGATCTGCCTATGCATCTGCGTTCCGCATATATCATCACGGTAAACAATCCCGACCACACAGCAAACGCTGTGTAGGAATGCTGACGCCTTTCGAGTTTCACTACCTGCGATCAAGTCACCCATTTCGCAGGCAAGGAGATTATGACCTTGGTAACGGAAGAAACTGTACAGTATGACGGTCAATGCCTGGTAGCTGGACCGTTCGGAACTCCTAAACTCACAGCTGGATCAAGTCATTGGCGGTTTGTTGGTCGAGCAGTTGGAGCTGCACGAGATCAACATTAATGCTATGCCCCAACAGCCTCCTGGACCCCCTAGTAATCTGCTGTGATATCGACCTCAGCACAACGATTGGTGCAGATTGAGCTCCCCTATCAGCCGGTGTTGAGAGGTATTCAGGATGAGAATGTCCCTGTTCTACATGTGCTTCACGTCCATCGCTGCTGTTGACAAAGTCCACACGGGCGTGCGACTGGACGTTTGGCACTTGAGCTCTCGATGTCAAGTCTTTGATCATAGACTTAAGCTCCTGCAGCTCGTCCTCATATTGCTGAAGCCTAGAATGACTGTCAGTCCATTCTGATGCTTGCTTGTCTATAGAGCAACCGTGGCAACGACAGGCCGACCCAGTTAAGGCAAGTTTTACTCGACTAGAAACAGATATATACCTTTCTTCAACATTCGAACCAACTTGCTCGGGACTGTATTCTTCGCGAAGAGAACATTCGATTCTTTGTGAAGACTATCAGTTCCATGCACACAGAGGACGGACGAACTAACGCATGAAACGCCGTAGACACGGTCCCGCTAACCTTAGCGTTTGGCATCGGTGACAACCTGGAGCGTTATGCTCATATTCGCATCTACACTTTAACTTCTGACATGACAGGCAGGAGAATGCCCGCCGACGTCTTTTCTGCGACGTTTCCCCGGTAGTCTTTTCCTCCGCACTCCGGCGTTTAGAGGGTTTGGACCCTGGTGCGGATACGGGCATATGGAATACAAGTTCACGGTCAACTAGAACCGCGCCGGATACAGGTTAACAGGCAGAAGCGTTCATGACCGCCGGAAATCGTTGGCAGCGGAAAAGTTTGCTCGCAAAGAGGTAAGCCGAAATCCCCACTTTCGAATCTCGGCGCGCCCTTCGTGAGAAAAATGCCCCATCGGTTATCAGCGGGATTGGTGAATTTCCCGCTTTGCCGCTTGAATAAAGCATCCCAATACGAATACTTCCCAAATCTACGTTAACAAGCTAATAGTCTAAACATCATTCTTTTTCGAGAATAACAGGTAAGTTTTCATAATAGAGAGTATTTGCATCCCTTTTACGTTATTCAGGGGTCACTCCTTTTCTGAATCTCTCATAAAACAGGTAGCTACAATCAACAGCCACTGAAAATCATCCACCTAAGAGTTTGATACAAGAAGCCATTTGATTTTGTTAATAAATCAATAACGACATATAATGTGCTTCGTATTGAAAGCTTTGCGGCAGCTCTAGTTATGAGAGGATGTGATACAATTTGGGTTGACCCAAAAAGATTTAATGGACCTTTCACATCTATCATTTTATCAGATTAATGCTTTTGGATTTTATGACTGTTTTCCATGATAGGTAAGCACTTAAATCAAGAGACTAGGGTGCTGGTGTTTGGTTCTCCGAACCTGCCTTGTTGCCTAATAAGTATCAGATTCACAACTCGGCGGCTTATGATGGTGCGACTGTCAACTTCAACGGAAAGAAAAACTTGAATGCAAGTCTATAAATCGCTTTACCGACGAGTAATTGATCCAGAGAGTAGGTCAAAGTCTACTAGTGACGTCTATGACTCTAGGTCTTCGTTTACCTGGCCTATTGCTGTGCGTTTATCCTATTTTCACTTATCCGATCCGTGGATTTCCACAGGTAAGTGTGAATGCGTGAATCCTATCCAAATATTAGGCTACGTTACTTCTGCTGGTCAATATAGGTCCATTCTCTTTATGCACAAGGCTGCAGTTAAATAGAATTACAAGTCCTACTCTTTCTACTTCCATTTCTTTTATCTAAATTTCTTTTGGGGTTTAACAGGAAAGATACTTCCTCACGTCTATCACCAACCAAGCAAAATTGCATTTTTATCTCTGTTCCTTGATTAATCAGTAACAAGCGGCGTCCTCTACAATCCTGAATCTCATACGAAGACGAACTCCTTCCTTTTACTAGTCATATTTATCGTAGTAGGCATCCATTTACAATAGGAGCATTCTTCTTGCATACCCTCAAGACTTAGTTTGATGTTGAGCTAAATCCAAAACGCCTCCCTTTATCCTTCTTCACTACACGTGGTATACTTCATTCTTCCTATATTGCGCCCCTGTACTCATAGGCAATAAAGTTGCCTGCTTTGACGATCTACTAATTAAGACGACTTCTTCTTTTCCCTTTTCCCTTCTATTTTCTTCCCTGAACGACCCTTCAACATCCACGCCCTGGGCCTTTTCATATCATAGTGAGTCCGATGTTCGAATGCAGCTTGAAAAAGGCGTCTCATTACTCAGAAAACTGCAATAAATCGAGTTACTAATCTTCGTATCTAGTCAAGCATCAACCGCGGCAACTTCTAAAATGAGCATAATGCTAGAGTCTAACTCACCATCTTTCTCTGAGGATGGATGGGATGGGGAGGAGCAGTCCAATGACGTGGCTCAAGCGGCCATCGAGCGACTTTTTCGAGAGATGCCATCTCGCGCCAAAGAGAACCACCCCGTAATTGACCTCAGTGAAGATGAAGTCGATAAAGTTGACGAGATGGAACTTAAGAATGAAGAAATGATGGAACCTGATATAATCCGGGTGATCGAGTTCATTGATCTCGTGGAGACGAAAGCGCCACGGAGATCACGCAAAGTAGTGAACCCCTCTAAGCGTAATCCTTCTGTTGCATTGGATAGCCTATGGCCAGGGACGTATAGTTACGATGGTATGGAACTCAAACGAGGAGTCACTGTGGAAATCCTACCGCTTGTAGAGCTCTTTCAAGCCTCATTTCTCCTCATTCAACAAATCATCACTACAAGCCAAGGCATCACCCTTCGAGGGCTCCCACTTACACGCACAAGGAATTTACGAGGTCAGCTACCACGACTCCGCAACGAGGTGGCACTAATTCTCGAGATCGACAT